CCGGAAGTCAAACATTTTTGTCCTGACACTCCTATCATCCTGCTTGGAAGCAAGAAGAATCTTCAGAATGATGGGCCCACAAAGCAGGAGCGAGTCAAGGTGAAGTAGGAGCCAGTAAAGACCTTTTCTGCTTTCCTTTGGTTTCATGCTTGGATTCGCACATAACTTGCCAGCATTCACACCCACTTCTGAGTGACAACAAAGCTGGGCAGATAACCAGAATGCTGCAATGGTTATGGTTAGAGCTGCAAGGGGCCAGGGATATGTTTGTAAGAATGTCATCAAGAGCCAGTGCAGCAGGGGTGACCTATCCAGACATCACCTTGCCTGGCTGGGTTCAAGACTGGCTCTGCCACCAATCCTCTATGTGACCTTGAGCAAAATGCTTGACCCTTCTGTGCTTTGGTTCTAGTGTGTATATTCTCATTACAATTGGAGGCCAGAGAGAAAAGGGAAGCCTTATGCTGGACAAAGATTTAGAAAATTGGGGGAGATTTTGGGGAGGACATTGACATTATCCTACATTCTTTTCCATATTTATCGTATTGATCTGTGAGCTCATTGCAGCAACCACACATCACTGATTTGTCTAGTCTAGCTAGAATATCAAAGAAGCTGTTCCCTTGCTGGGCAAATGAAATGGAAAACCTCGGGGCTGGCTTCAGACTGTGAATGTGGCCAAGTCTCCGCCCAGCTGTCTGAACTCGGGCAGGTCACTTTGCCCCCCTGAGTCTTCCATTTCTCTTCTCACCTTTAAACCAGAATAACAACAGCACCTACCTCCTGGGAATAAATTAAATGGTACATGCAAAATGTTTCACACAGTACCTATGATGAGTACTTCTTCAAAAACAACAGCCACTTCTGTTTTTTGGATTGTGCTCAGTGCAACAAGAAAGAAAGACAGAAGCTATTTTCCCCCTTAATATATGCAGAAAGAATTCGAATTGCCCTAGGATTTGGACCCATCCCTTTGAACCAGCAGTTTGGATTTGGTTGCCATAGTCTCAGGGACCATGAATGGCCAATGTGGAGGCTTGTTGTAGTTTCAGAAGTGCCTTGACTTGTCTGACAAGGAGATACTGTTTCTATAATGTAGTTGTCTCCAATTTGTAAAATTCCATTTATGGATTTTTTTTCTTCCTATTCTCTACAGCCTCTTGTGGCAGGTCCTAAGAAAAGGCATGCTTACAAGGAGGGAGGTGACTAAGTTTTGGTAAGACACTAGACTCATTTGAACTCAACTCTGTCCAGCTGGGTTCCTCTGATAAAATACATTTCAGCAAGAGTTACCTCAAGAATTCCTTAATCCCTAATCCTTTTTGTAAACAAGGCATTGAATAAATGTATTGCTCATCCCTCTGAAAAAGACCTTTTGAAAGTGGCATTCTTATTTTACCCAGCAGATCTGTTTTACTTCCTCCAAAGGGCTGACATTAATACCCACTGCCTTCTCCACTCCTGCCAAAATAAAATTCCATATTAAAACCTCCCACATGTCAATGTTCCAATGTGAGAACCACATATATGCCCCAGTTCAGAGGCTGGAACCTATAATCTCCAAGGGCTGCATTTTCTTAGTCACCACAGAGCAAGGCTGGGGTATAATCCCAGCTCCACCCCAAAGTCTACTTGCTTGGGGCCAGTTACTTCTCTGAAAGTCAGTTTCATCTGTGAGATGAGCTGCCTTGCAGCCCTTCATTCATCCAGTCATTCTACAAATGTTTGTACCAGAGATGATCACAATAGGTGAGGTTTCTGTCCTGTAAACCCGGCAAGTGTGGGCATCAGGTGTGAAATAGCATCACAACTCAGTACATGTGGGCAGCGCTGCCAGGGCGGGTGGTGTGGGGTGGGGGGAGTTCTGGGGCTTTCTGAGGATGACTTATGCTCAACTTTCCTGTCACTCTCCAGGTGCAGTGCAGGGAACGCCCTTCACTCCAGAGTTGCTGAGTGATGAGTCACCCTCGAGAAAGTGGGTAAGTGGAGCAGACAGGGGACCAGAGGCCACCAGAACTTATTACTGGTCTCTGGGATCAAGTCACAGGTTCCCAGGGAAGGTGACTGTATGTGTGGAGGGCGTTTGTTACAGAGGGTCATTGCAATCAACATCTAGAGAAGGGATTTGGGGAAGGGGAGGAGGAAGTCAATGCGGAGACCCTGCATGATGCCTCATTACTGCAATCATGAGCTTCAGCTTTCTGACACAGGATCATGGCAACTGATCATCTCGAGTGGAATAGTACAGTTCCATGACTTCAAAAATTGTCCTAGTGCCTCCTTATGGACAGTCCCCTTCATTCATCCCAGCCCCTGGCAGCCAAAGTATGATGACCTTTCCATACTTTTTCCAAAGGGACTTTGCCTTTTCCAAAATATTACGTAAGTGGAATCATCTGTGATGTAGATTTCTGAGTCTTGTTTCTTTCACCAAACACAACATCTTGGAGATTCATCTGTGTTGTTGCATGTATCAGTGATCAGCTCCTTTTTATTATTGAGCATTTATTATCCCGTGGCACAGATATATGCTACAGCTAATTTATATCTATTCACCTGTTGGAATCCATTAGGTTATTTCCAGGTGGGGCAATTACAAACAAATATGCTATTATTTCACAGCGGTTTTGTGTGGACATAAGTTTTTATTTTTCCTGGGTAAACACCTAGGAGTGGGATTACTGAATTTTCTGGTGAGTATATGTTTGGCTTAATTAGCAGTGGCCAAACTGATTTCCAAAGTGACTCTACCACTTTGTTTTCCTATCAGCAATGAATGTATACTCACCAGTATCTGGTATTGTCATTGTCACTCATTTTCATTTCAGCCATTCTGATGGGCACGTAGAGATTTTGTCTACTATCAGCAGTGCTATATGAATATTCTTATACATATAACCTTGGTGATTAGTTGTGAGTGTGTCCATAAGATACATTCTTAGAACTGCCATTGGTGGGTCGTAGGGTGTGAAAAGTTGATTAGATATTGCCAAAGAGCCTTCTGAGAAGGTGGGGCCAATATATACACATACCAGCTAGGAATGGTAATGTCTGTTTCCCCACATCCTCAACACAGCGTCTTGGGTGATTGTTGTGTGAGTACCTCAGAGGGTTGTTGGTGAGAACTTGAAGTAAAGTATTAGAGCCGTGCCTGTCATACGCAGAGTGGCAGTGGATGCCATCATACGATTACCACTACAAACCCATCGATCACATTATTATTTGTCTTTCTCTGAGTTTCTCATCAAGATATATGAGAGTCCTTTTTCTCTGAGGAGCTCAAACATTCTACCTACAGAATTTGGTTAATCCTTATAAATCTCTTCAGATGTTGGCCAGGAATTCAGGCTCTGTGGGTTTTACAGAATAGGGAAGTATGACACAATAGAGTCTTTCTAAGTTTACAGAACAGATCTGTGTTCCACAAAGTCAAAATTAATCTCCTTTGGAATGGGAATGGACTCTAGGTTACAACGGCCTTCAAATGTTTTGTGTGTGTGTGTGTGTGTGCGTGCGTGCGTGCGTGTGTGTGTGTGGCTATCTACTTTAAGAAATACACCAAAAGCCAGGTCACAACATTCTTACCCAAAACAGAAATTTAAAAAAAAACAACAGTACTTCTTTGTTTTCTATTTGTTCCATCCCATCTCATTGAAAATATGTTCATTGGGAGCCACTGATAAATAGATTTCAGAACCTACTATGGGTTAAGACTAGCAATTTAAAGGGCACTGTTCCGGGATCTAGGTCACAGACATAGACCTTCCTGGCAATGGAAGGAATCACATAACAGGATTCCTAACTGGAAGCACAGAGTCTCACACTCAGTTTTTGGGTAAATTATCCCCATTATTCCCATGTTTTTTCTTCTTCATATATTTGGGATGGTAGAGTTTATTCGTTCCTCAATTATTCACAAATAGCTTTTGGACTCCGTAGGTGCACTACCCATAATTAAGTGCCAGGGGAAGAGAACAGGCTTTGAACAGCAAGAGGCCTGGATGCAAATCTCACCTCCACCATTTGCTCATGATCTTGATTTAAGCCTTATCGGTCATCCAAGACTCCGTTTCCTCCTCTGTAAAATGGGAGTTACAGGAGAGAAATCACTGAGCCAACATATATAAAGCATTTAGCACAGTGTCAGGCTCACAGTTAAGTCCTTAACACAGTGAGACCAGCAGCACCAGCATCACCAGAGAACTTGTTAGAAATGCAGTTCTTGGAGGGCGCCTGGGTGGCTCAGTGGTTGAGCCTCTGACTTTGGCTCAAGTCGTGATTCCTAGGTGTGATCCTGGGTTCCTGGGATCAAGTCCTTCATCAGGCTCGCTGCAGGGAGCCTGCTTCTCCCTCTGCCTCTCTCTCTCTCTCTCTCTCTCTCTCTTTCTCTCTGTGTGTGTGTGTGTCTCTCTAAAATAAAATAATTAGAATAGAATAGAACGCAGTTCTCAGATCTCACCCTGGATTGACTACATCAGAAACCCCAGCGGTGGGGCCCCATGATTCCTAGGTGTGATCCTGGGTTCCTAGGATCAAGTCTTGCATCAGGCTCGCTGCAGGGAGCCTGTTTCTCCCTCTGCCTATGTCTCTGCCTCTCTCTCTCTCTCTCTCTCACTGCGTCTCTCTAAAATAAAATAATGAATAGAATAGAATAGAATAGAATAGAATAGAATAGAATGGAATAGAATGCAGTTCTCACATCTCTCACCCTGGCTTGACTACATCAAAAACCCCAGCGGTGGGGCCCCGTGATCTGTTTTAACAAATCTTCCGAGTTTGAAGGAAGGACTGATCAGCCACAGTGCAGCACTAAAGAGCGGGCAGCATCTGCAGGTGAGGTCTCTAACTGGTCTCCGGGCCGGCTCCTCCCACCTCCTCCCTCAGCACCTAGAGAGCTCGCTGATTGGTAGGATCCCTCCGGACCGTCACCACCCACCGAATCCGGGAGGGCGAAAACCGAAAGGGGCGGGACTGAGCAGCGCGAGAGGGGCGCGCCTATTGGCTGTAGACCGGCGCTGCGCGTGCGCACAGCCGACGCACGCCCGTGACGGCCGGTTGAAAGATGGCGACTGTCGCGGAGCTGAAGGCTGGTGAGTTCGAGTGGGCGGTGTGCCGGGTGAACGGCGCCTGGTCTTCCTCCCGTGAAGAGGATGGGCTGGAAGGAGAGCGCGCGGAACACAGAGTTAGCCTTTCCGGGGGTCGCTGCGCGGCGTCAGGGCCCGCAAGGCGTCCGGCTGGCGTGGCGGCCGCTGCGCCGCGGACGGGGGGGGGGGAGGGGGGGAGGGGTCCTGGGGGAGAGAAGCGGTCGCTCGGGACCAGCTGGGCGGGTCCCAGGTGCGTCGTCGAGCGGAGGAGATGCTGCGCGACCCGCAGGTTCCCGAGAGGTCTGCAGTCCTGCTCGGTGGGCCTCCGGCGCTTTTGTCGGAGCCCTGTCGGGCCGAGGCTCTGGGCTGCCCCTTTCGTCGGGGGCTGAGGATTTCGTCCCCCTCCGTGATCGGGCCTCGGCGCCACCCCGAACCATTAGCTTGCTTACCTGTCTCACCGAAGCCTTGCCGCAACCTGCGGGTTGGGTCCTGGTCCCCGTCGGGAAGGCCTGCAGGTAGGAGAGTGGTCTGGCCTGCCCTGGCCACGCCCCCCCCCCCCCCCGCAAGAGTTCCGCAAAGGTGCGAGTCATCGAGCGGGGTGGTGTTTGCGCACCGTTGGTTTTTAAATTTTTTTTCAAGGTTTATTTATTTATTTATGATAGAGACACAGAGAGGCAGAGACACAGGCAGAGGGAGAAGCAGGCTCCACGCCGGGAGCCCGACGTGGGACTCGATCCTAGGACCCCAGGATCGCGCCCTGGGTCAAAGGCAGGCGCTAAACCGCTGCGCCACCCGGGGATCCCCGCACCGTTGGTTTTAACGGAGGTGTCCAAGCAGCGAACAGTAGTCGGAGGCGAGAAGCGACCGAGCCGTCCGTGTCAGGCCCTGCCCAGCCCCCCTGTGTTACCCAGTGGAGTCTGTGTGACACCCTAGGCCTGTGTAGGTCGTGAGAAATGGAGGTGCAGGGAGTTGGAATAGCTCTCGCCAAGTAACCGAGCTAGAAAGAGGCAGTGCGAGGCAGTGCGTGAGAACCTGGGTTTGTTCCCCTAGCTCTCCCCACCTCCCCGAGCTCCAGGTCTTCATCCCTGGGTCATACTGCTACCGATTAATAACACTAGTTCCGGTTTTCAGGGACCTTGAGCTCTTAAATGAGTCATTTTTTTTAGAAAAGATTTTATTTATTCATTCATTCGTTCATTCATTCATTCATAAGAGTGACACAGGCAGAGGGAGAAGCAGGCTCCCTGCAAGGAGCCCCGATGGGGGACTCGATCCCAGGTCTCCAGGATCACGCCCTGGGCCCACGGCAGATGCTCAACCGCTGGGCCACCCAGGTGCCCCTAAAAAGGTCATTCTTAAATACCTAGTGAGGAGGGGTTGAATCTCTTTTGAGGGTAGAGTTCAGTAAGCATTGATACAAATGTGTATTTGGGGCATTGGGCTCATGAATGGTCATAAAAAAAGGCATGCCTTTATCCACAAGGAATAGTCTTTTAAGTGAATCCGAGCACCCTCTCTGCACGAAATCCATAACGTGTAAATCAGAGGATTTTTTTTCTTTGTTTTTTTTCTTTTTTATTGGTGTTCAATTTGCCAACATATAGCATAACACCCAGTGCTCATCCCACCAAGTGCCCCCCTCAGTGCCCATCACCCAGTCACCCCAACCCCCCCGCCCACCTCCCCTTCCACCAGCCCTTGTTCATTTCCCAGAGTTAGGTGTCTCTCATGTTTTGTCACCCTCACTGTAAATCAGAGGATTTAAAGATGCTTTGGGATATCAGGCCAGGTTAAGAACCTCTTTTTTTTTTTTTTTTTTTAAGATTGCATTTATTTATTCATTAGACACAGAGGGAGGCAGAGGGAGAAGCAGGCTCCCTGCGGGGAGCCTGATGCAGAACTCCATCCTAGAACCCTGGGATCAGGATCTGAGCCAAAGGCAGAAAAAGCTCAACCACTTAGCCACCCAGGCATCCCAAGAACCTCTTTCTGAAGTTGTTGCTAGGGTACAAAGTTTGAGGCATAGTTAGAGAAAGGGCAAAATAGTATGCAACCTGAAAAGAAAATGTAATAGGAGATTAGGAGTGTCCTATGCAGATGTATCCCTACATATATCCTTTTATGTTTTTTTCTTCTGCATTTACCACTTCAGAATATGCTGTGTGTTCCAGAGAAACTTTTTTTTAAAGATTTTATTTATTTATTTATTCATGAGAGACAGAGTGAGGCAGAGACACAGGCAAAGGGAGAAGCAGGCTCCATGCAGGAACCTGATGTGGGACTCGATCCCGGATCCCCAGGATCATACCCCGGGCCAAAGGTGGCGCTAAAACGCTGAACCACTGGGGCTGCCCCCAGAGAAACTTCTTGAAAATTTATTTCCCACTCAATCATTTTACATTGTATGGGCTTTTACCTTTTTCTTTAAAGAGGGGCAAGTGGGAAGGAGCAGAGGGAGAGGGAGAAAGAGAATCTTGAGTAGGCTCCATCCCCACTGTAGAGCCCAATGCAAGGCTGCATCTCAGGACCCTGAGATCATAACGTGAGCTGAAATCAAGAGTCTGGTCCTTAACCAACTGAACCATCCAAGTGCCCCTGGGCTTTTACCTTTTTAAACATTTTCACATTTTCCACCTCACTTGGTTCTGCCTCTGAGATGTAGGACTCCATATGTTGCAAAGGGCAGCTGAGGCATAAGCTGGTGATGACACAGGATAGGCTTCCTAATTCCAGCTTCATTAATTCTCATTTCTCTGCTGAGTTTGAGGTTGTGTTGCGTGCAAATTCAGAGTAATTGGGGGATCTCTGGGTGGCTCAGCGGTTTAGCGCCTGCGTTTGGCCCAGGGCGTGATCCTGGAGTCCCCGGATCGAGTCCTGTGTTGAGCTCCCGGCATGGAGCCTGCTTCTCCCTCTGCCTGTATCTCTGCCTCTCTCTCTCTCTCCATGTCTATCATGAATAAATAAATAAATAAATCTTTAAAAAAAATTCAGAGTAATTGGGACAGGATCCTGGCCAGCGGAAGAAAATCTCTTCCATCTAATTTCCAAAGATGGAGTTAAAGAAGTGCATTTGGTTATGATCCCAAGAATATGATAAGGCTGGACCTTCCTTTTATGGGCCTGTTGCAATGTCTGATTGGGTGATAACTGTACTTGCATACCTGCCCAAAAGGTTGAGGGGATGATTTAAAAACAAGGGGCAAGAAAGGTTAAAGTTTAGTCTACACCGTGTCTCTGTAATCATATGGCTCAGGTTTTTGTTATGTATTAAAGCTTATGGGGGTTTTATGTTTATGCCTATGTGGATAAGCTCCTTGGGCCCTATTTATGAATTTTTCTTTATTTTGGTGCCTTTGGCAGAGTGCAGTACAGTAGTAAAATATGTTTATTACACCAATAATATACAGCAATGTATTATGCTCCCAGGTAGCATTTATTGAGCTTTTACTATGTTCTAATCACTGTGCATGAGACATATTGATTGTCTAGGTTTGTTATTTAGCCGTTAGGGACAGTGTGAAAAAAGAAGGTCCTAGACCACTGCAAGGAATGATACCAATTCAGTTCTCTGCCCCAGTGTCCCTACCGGTATTTATAGTTAAGTGTAATTATCACAGCTGATACTGTAATATAACCCTTGCTCATCAAGAGGTTAGTTTACATTCAGCGTATAGATCCCAGATTCCTTAAAATGGCAGTGGCATAGCCATGTGATAAATTTCATTTAGGCTTAAAATTTCCAAATCCTACTGTTTTTTGTTTTTTGTTTTTTTTTTTTTTTTTTGGAAGTTAACTCATAAGTGTCTTTAAAAAGCAAACAAAACCCAAAGAAACACCTTTTTGTTCAGAATAGGCCATCCCCCAAGGATTCTGGATATCAAAGGTTTTTATCAAAAGACAACAAATTCCTTATGGGAATCATCTTTCTAGACTAGAGGTTTTTAGTGACACAGAACCTGTCTGCAGTGATTAACACTCCTGAAAATATAGGAGCCAGTGTAAATTTCAGGCCCCGGTAAGCTAAGTACAATTCTGTGCTCCCTTTTTGTTCCTCACTGAAGATGTGTACCAGACCATAGTCCTACAGTGATGATTTTGGAAAAATAAACTTGAATTTGATTAAATATATTGAAATAGCAAATCATTGCAACTTGAGAACTTTATTTTTTATTACAAACAGGATATAATTGGATAACTTCCATTCAGCATATTGTTTAAATCAAAACAATGGCTATTAGGCCATTTACCTTTTAAACATTTTTCTTCAAAGTATACCTAAGAATGACCAAATTTATTCTGCATTAATGTTTTATATTTAACAGTTTTAAAGGACACCTTGGAGAAAAGGGGAGTATTAGGGCATTTAAAAGCAAGGATCCGAGCTGAAGTATTCAGTGCCCTAGATGATGAAAGTGAACCCCGACCACCATTGTCTCATGAAAACCTTATAATTAATGAACTAATTCGGGAATATCTTGAATTCAACAAATATAAGTATACAGCATCTGTCCTCATATCAGGTAAGAGGTTATTATTACTTGCCTGAAACAAAAATCTGCTTTTTCCTTTCCTCAATTCTCAGGAAATATTTAGGCTGAAAATCTTTTTTTTTTTTTTTTTTTTTTTAAGATTTTATTTAATCATGAGAGACACACAGAGAGAGGCAGAGACACAGGCAGAGGGAGAAGCAGGATCCATGCAGGGAGCCCGATGTCGGACTCGATCCTGAGACTCTGGAATCAGGCCCTGAACCGAAGGCAGACCCCCTCAGCTCAACCACTGAGCCACCTAGGCCCCTAGGCTGAAAATCTAATTCCATTACCATACAGTATTGTTCAAGTGACTGGGACATAAAAATCTCCTGAGCTCTTTCCATAACTTGAATACATTCTCATGGGGCTTATTGTCTTATAAGGGAAAATAAATACCTAAACACTTAAACTTGTGTACTTTGAAAAATCATTTGTATTCCTGATTCTGAAAATTAAAAGTGATTTACACTTTATCTTGTGTGCTGCCAGCTTTTTCTATGTAGATGCTTTAAAAATACACAGTTTTGGGGGATCGGTTGGTTAAGCATCTAACTCTTGATCTCAGCTCAGGTCTTGATCTTACGGTTATGAGTTCAATGCTGGGCATGGAGACTACTTTAAAATTAAGAATACACACAGTTTTGATGTGTATATTTTTTATTAAAAATATGAAAGGTTGGAGATAAAACTTCAAAATATTGCTAATATTGTAGGTTAGGGATATGTAGAAATGTGTGTAAAAGCATGGTATTTTAAAACCGTTGTGAACTGGGGTGCCTGTCTGGCTCAGTCAGTTGAGCATCCAGCTCTTGGTCTCAGCTCAGCTTTTGATCTCAGGGCTGTGGGTTTGAGCCCCGAGTTGGGCTCTGCACTCAGTGTGGGATCTAATTAAAAAGGATCAGGAAGGTAAATGCCAACTCACTACAGCGATAGGAGGGAGAGAAATGGTGTTGGGGAGTTAAAAAAATTAAAGTACACTTATCTCATTCTATTTCTCATTTTATTTCAGTTAAAATACACTTATTTTATTTCTGAAGAAAGAACTGGAGGGAATGCATAGTACTGAAGTTAGATTTTCATCTGCACTGGAGGGAGACACGGAACTGGAACGATGACTTTAATTTGTATTAATCTGTGTTTTAAAACTATCTCTTGCCTCATCAATGAAAAGAAACCATGAATTCGATTTTGGAAGAGAGAATAAATTCTTTGTGGTGTTGGAACTTTTCCATTTAATAGATTTTTAAATTAATATTCTAGATCTTTTATTTAATGTTAAGCATATACCTTAACTGAGTAAAGACTGGTAATTTTTCTTTTAAAGATTTTATTTATTTATTTATTCATGAGAGACGCAGAGAGAGAGAGAGGCAGAGACACAGGCAGAGGGAGAAGCAGGCTCCATGCAGGGAGCCCGACGCGGGACTCGATCATGGGGACTCCAGGATCACAACCTGGGCTGAAGGCAGCGCTAAACCACTGAGCCACCCAGGCTGCTCAAGACCGGTGATTTTTAGTGGTCTAAGAATCTTCGTATTAGCCCCCACTTTCCTTAGTTAGAGATGGGTGTATAATACTATTAATACTCAGAAAAGAAGAACATTATGAAAATATAATGAATTAGGTCTTGGACCTGGGCTTCTCTAGAATAAAAAGTAGTCACAATAGTCAAGTTTCATGTTAGGTGTCTTGGCTTTTTTAAAAAACTGAGGTGTAATTAATAATGCAGTATACCTTTTTTAGTATACAGTTCTGTGGATTTTACCAAATGCATACAGTTGTGTAACTACCACCTCAGTTAAAATCACAATATAGAATATTTTTATCACCTCAAAACATTCTCTCTGCCCTGTTGTAGTTAACTTCTTCAGCTACCAACCCCTAGCAACCACTGATCTGTTGTTTTCTGTTCCTAATATTTGCCTTTTCCAGAATGTCCTGTAAATGAGCCCATTCAGGTTGTAGCCTTTTGAGTCTGCTTCCTTTCACTTAGCATAATGCATTTGAGATTTAGCTGTGTTGGTTTTTTTCCCCCTGAATAGCATTCCTTTGTATGGCTGTGCCGATTTATCTATTATCAGTTGAGGGTCAGTTGTTTATAGTTTTTGGCAATTATCAACCAGATGCCCTAAAGTTCACACACAGGTTTTTGTGTGAAGGTAAGCTTTCATTTCTCTTGAGTAAGGAGGTAAGAGTGGGATTGCAGTTGTTTGTGGTTAAGAACATGCTCACCTTTATAAGAAACGGCTCAGCTGTTTTCCAAAGTGGCTGTACCATTTTGCTCTGCTACGAGCAAAGCAAAGTATGAGAGTATCCAGTTGCCTTGTATCCCTGCCAGCACTTCATATTTGGGTTAATTTTACTTTTAGAATTATTGCTACCAAATAAATATTGTTCCTGTCCTGTATCTAATTTGTGGGCTTCTCAAAAAAAGGGGGGGGGCCTTCTGAAGTCCATTATGCAGAAGCAGTATGTTCCTAACAAAAAATTGGGGGATTTAAAAAATGAATTTATGTTAAATTCTGTTAAGTTATATATATAACGGGCAGCCCGGGTGGCTCAGTGGTTTAGCGCCATCTTCAGCCCAGGGCATGGTCCTGGGGACTCGGGATCAAGTCCCACGTCAGGCTCCCTGCATGGAGCCTGCTTCTCCCTCTGCCTGTGTCTCTGCCTCTCTCTCTCTGTATCTCTCATGAATAAATAAATAAAATCTTAAAAAAAAAATAGTTATATGTATAACAAAATGATACTTTGAAGATCATAAAATCACATAGATCTGCCTTGGAATGTGCCATTATCACCCTCCCAAAATCTGAAAAGTCTGTATACTTGGTAAGTGGTTCTTATCAAAATCATATGTGCTTTTTAGAAGAATAAAGACTTACAATTTTTCTTCCAGAATCTGGTCAACCTGTAGTTCCATTGGACAGACCATTTCTTATCCGGGAACTAAATGCATTTGAAGAATCAAAGGATGATACAATGTAAGTTTTTTTAAATAAAATTTTTTATAATAAAAACTTAAAAATAAGTCTTTAGTTATTACTGTTTTGTAGTCCTAATCATGTATTAGTGGCTTTATTTCATTTTAATTGAGCAGGAATTTATTTGGTTCGAGTGTGTGTCTAACACTGCACCAAATCCAAATAAGACAAGGCATCTGCTCTTGAGCTAGAATTCCCATAGTTCCAGAGGACCGAACCTTTGTCTTGCTAAGTAAGGGTCACTCTTCTTGGCTTCTTGATGCATCCTTTTTTGTCTTCTCAGGCTTTGCTCTATCAGTTGTTTTTTTTTCTCACGTCAAACTCTTCTGAATATTTAAACTCTTCTGATTATTTCCTCCATTTCAACCTAGGAATATACTCAGATCTAAAAAAATACCGGTCAAGTCGTTTTTACCACTGAACTTAGTGATAACCAGCCATCTGCTTTCATTTTGTTTCTCTCCCCTCTTTTGCCTTCTGTGCGTATCAAAAATTCTTCCCTCGCCATTTATACTGAAACTGTGCTCTTGAAAAGAAGGGCGACTACTTTCAGGTAGTTTCTTAGTTCTTTTCCTCCCTCAAGGTCGCTCAAACTTTTTCCAGAGGATCCTTGAATGGCACAAAAAAAAAAAAAATACAATTGTACCTAGGAGGCCAGGGGACATAGCTCAAAACAGCCCTTCCCTGGCAAGAATTTTCTTTGAAGTCTTATGCTTTCACTTTATGAAAATTTCTTGAATTTTTTTCTTTCTGCTTCATGGTATAATTATCTGTTTTACCTTACAAATGCTGTAAATGACATACCAATTAGATTGAAATCTCCTGCAAATCTTTGTACCGTTAATAATCCAGAATCATATGCCCCCTTTATCCTGTGCTTTGTCCTAAGTCCCTGGCACCAGGGTGGGTATACATCTGTATTTCCAGTTTAAGCAACTCAATTTTGCTTGAGTTTCTGTAGCATTTTGTAATAGTGACTGTTGCCTCTTAAGAATCTTTTTGTCACTTGTCTTTTTTGATCCTTTACTGTCTAGGTTTTCCCTTCCCTAATAGTGTTCTCAGTTTCTTCTTTGGCTCGTTTAGGGTTCCCTTAGATCGTGAGCAGTCTCCAGGTTTTGTCCTCCTGTCCCCTTGCCCACTTTTCCAAGTATGCCTGAGTCTTTAATGATGCCTCCATGTTGGTGACTCTATTTATTTTTTTTTTTTTGAGATTTATTCATGAGAGAGAGAGAGAGGCAGAGACACAGGCAGAGGGAGAAGCAGGCTTCATACAGGGAGCCGGATGTGGGACTCGATCCCAGGTCTTCAGGATCACGCCCAAGCTGAAGGCGGTGCTAAACCGCTGAGCCACCCAGGCTGCCCGGTGTCTTTAAACCCAACAGACACCCTGAAGTGTGGGCCCACGTTTCAGCTGGCATCTCAAACTCACTGTGTCCAAAATTTAAATGTGTTATTTTCACCTCCTTAAACCCACCTTGTGTGTTCCTTATCTAGCCATTAGGGTCTTAAACTCGGAGTCTACTTCCATCTGTGGCTCCTTCCCCTTGTGGGTTCCGTCACTTCTGCTCCACAGTGTTCCCTGTCCCTTCCCACTGCCCTGCACTGTTTAGAAGCCATCTGTCTGCTTTGTCTGTCTCTAGGCACTTTCTTTCCAACTTACCTTCATACTGCCAACAGTTTGCTTTCTGAAAGGCAGTTACTGCTCTGTTTAAAACATTTCTGCTATAGGGCTGCCTGAGTGGTTCAGTCGGCTAAGCGTCCGACTCTTAATCTCAGTTCAGGTCTTGACTACAAAGCCCCCACTGGGCTCCATGCTGGGTGTGGAGTCTACATTCAAAACAAAACAAAACAAAACAAAACCCCTCCATTGTAAACTTTTCAGATTTTGGAAAGTAACATGGATTGTATAGTTGAAATTTGCTAAGAGAGTAGAACTTAAATGTTTTTTCATCCATGAAAGTAGCACACACAAAAGTAAATGGGTGAGGTGATGGGTATGTTAACTCAATGAGAGGAATTCCTTCACAGTGTGTGTGTATATGTATATCAGATCATCGTGTGGTACACTTTAAATACCTTACAATTTTATTTCTCAGCTATAACTCAGTAAAGCTGGGAGAAAAAAGGTAATATGGCAAGTATACCAAATACTAGGTGTATGTGCCGGTGTGAACATACAGTGACTCCATAAATATACTGATAGTTTTTCTGGGAAGCTTAAGAATTTTCACACAAAGTACAATAAAAATATATAATAGCCCTGGTTAGGTCAAGCCATGCTACCAACAGTTTGTGCCAAATTTATGAAGAAAACTAGTTTTCAGAGTTTTTGTGTTTCAGCATTTGCAAATAAGGTAATTATAAAGCCGAACTTAAAAAAAAATCTGTTTTTTGAACTTTTATTTTTAAAAAATCTAAATATCCATGAATTCATGGATTAAACATGCAAGCTATGTATTTTCTAATAACATTAAAAAGTATCTGAGTCTTAAAAATTTTAAGTCTTAAAACTTCATTGATGTTAATTTAAGAACAAAATTGTTGAAACTTAAAAATCTTCTTGAACCTGTTAGCTCATTGGGAAACATGGGTTTAAAATTAAATGAAAAGACAGATCTTACATTCCTGGTTATGAGAGTTACAATGTAAGATATATTCCTTTCATAAGAGTTGGGCATCTTAAATAGATAAACCTACTTTCCTGCTTTCCTCATGATCTGGAGAAGTTGGCATGCAAGCAGTTATTGCTGCCTAACTGAGTGCCCCAGAATTTGGTAGCTTGAAAAAATCATTTATTATCTGTAGTAGGTCAGGAATCTCAGGGCGCTTCTGATGCTCAGCATTTCTCTGGAGATTCCAGTTACAATGTAGCCAGGGAGGCCCTGGTCTGAAGGCCTGGCTAGGGCTGCAGGATCCCCTTCTGTGTGGCTCGCTCCCACAAGACCATTCCTTCCACGTGTACCTTTCCCTGGGACAGCTTGAGTGTCCTCATGACATGGCACAGACTTCCCCAGAGAGAAGGCATGGAGGAGACCATGGTGCACAGTGCTTTATGACCTAGTCTTGGAAGCTGCACAGCGCTGTCACTGAATACCTTATTTGGTTCATAGAAGTGACTTGAGCCCACACTCCAGGGGAGGGCAGTTAGGCTCCACCGTGTGAAGAGAAAGTCATGTCCTACTTTAATCTATCACGTCAACTAATAAATATCTCAAAAAAAAAAATCAGTGAAATTGTATTTTCAGTGATGAGATTAGAAACGAAAACATTTCTGTAGTACCTGTCTTCATTGTCAGCAGGTAGCTTCCCTTTCTGCAGGGGAACTAATAGAAATCACCAGCAGCATATTGTCGTGAGAAGAATATAGGACTTGAGGTTCAAGTAGAAAGTTTGTTTACTTACTAAGGAATCTCTAAATCTTCCCTGAGCTGTGGTATTCTCATTTATCCACAAAGTGAAGATAAAATGGAGAGAGGTTAGAGTATTTTGTAAACTGTAAAAGTAGCTTTTTTAATGGGCCCTGCCTCCCAAAAAATAGCTTGTTAAATATCAATTCTAACCCAACTGCTGAATAGCTAACATTCATATACCATTTAATGTGTGCCAGGCACAGTTCTAAACACTTGATATTTATTGGCTCATTTGGTCCACAACAACCCTTGAAGGTAAGGGCTACGCTTATTCACATTTATACAGGAAGAAACATGGAGAAGGCTGGGGACATGAAGAATCTTGCTGAGGTCAAGTGCTGAATCCAGGATTTTAACCTAGACAGTCTGGCTTTGCCCACATGTGATCTTTAGGCAAGGATCTATTCCTCTACTTAGTGTTTACTGAATACCTGTTGTGTATCTATCAGACAGTGCTAGGCACTGGAAAATCTTCCACTGGACTTTGAAAGTCGAAAAGCAGAATTCCTGTGTATTGATGACACTGTGTTTCAGTTTGGGTGATGTTTACATAGTTAACATGGGTTCTCTGGGTTTTTAAATTGTCTTTCAAGTTAAATGGTACTCTTATATTTTAAAAAGCTCAAATAGTTTGCGATTTGGATAGTAACCGTGCATCTTCTTTCTTTTAAGTCTCGAAAATTACGTGGCCATTTTGGTGGCAGAGGAAGCCTTAAAGAATAGAGGTTTTAAGCTTTTCCTGTATCTGTAATTTTAATTGATTTTGGTTTTCTTCCTGCTACAGACCTCTTTTATATGGAATTTTAGCTCATTTTTTACACAGAACGAAGGATGACCTCCAAAATCCATTCCTGAGAGGGTCTTCACTTCAGCCTCCAAACCCAAATCTTGGTGGACAGCCTAGCAGAAGAAAGCAAAGGGGTATGAATTTCCTGAGATTCATCATTTAGCTGTCAGCAAGCATTTGTTCTACTTTTGTTTAAAAAAAATTTTTTTAAAGATTTTTAAGTAATGCACATACCCAACATGGGGCTTGGACCCCACAACCCCAAGATCAGGAGTCACACGCTTCACTGACTGAGCCATCCAGGTGCCCCAAGTATTGTTTTCTTCTTAAATATCTTTCTCTCAGGAATAGTTTTTCCTGAGCTTTTGAGTTATAGTTTAATTCTACTTCCATCTAATAAAGTTTGAGTCTGTGTTACTAATTCTTCAAGAAACAAAATGCTTTTTGGAAGGAGAATCTTGGGATGGGAGAGTGGACAAAATTCTTAGGCACTCTTTCTATGCCAAAATATGGAAAAACCTGATTTTCACAGAGATTTGTACTCTTTTGGAGCAGCTTAGATCATTAGCATACTGAAGAAATAGCCTTTTATCAAGTCATCACTTTTTCCCCCTTCAAGACTGAAGAAAGGCAAGATTACTGAGCACAGATAGAGAAGTCACAGGTGTCTATATCCTTTGCATTCTTAGGGTACTGTTTGTGAAAGACTGACAGTTACCTACAACTAAATTCCTAGGAGCATAGCCCCTGTTGTTTTCAGAATGTTTACTCCTTAATGAGCTTTCATTTGCTTTGATCACATCAGCAATAGGATCTCAGTTTGACCATCTGAACTGAATGGTTTATAGCTCCTTCCCAACCTTGGTAGATTTAATCTCTTTCTCAGAAGGACAGTTAGAGCTGGGGCTCAGGCATCAGATTAGCAGAGCAAATCTAAATCTTAAAGAACGTTGAAATAAACTTACAGGAAACATCTAGAATACAAATTGCCTCTCATAGTTTTTTTTCTTTAAAGATTTTATTTATTCATGAGGACACACAGAGAGAGGCAGAGACACAGGCAAAGGGAGAAGCAGACTCTCCCCAGGGAGCCCGACATGGGACTTGATCCCAGGACCCTGAGCTGAAGGGAGATGCTCAGCCACTGAGCCCCCCCAGGCATCCCACCTCTGTTAGTTTTCATAAACTGCTGTGAGCAGTACTGATCACGTTAAATATTTGCTGTGTCTCCTAAGATCTGAAAATGTAGTATTTGTGAACCAAGGTGACCACCTTTGGAGGTTATTTCTGATTTCACTAGGAGCTGTTCATTTCTGTATCTTAGAATGCTGAGCTGATGGAGCATTGAAAAAGAAATCATTCCTGCCTCCTTACCCGGCAGTTGAGAAAACCAGGACTGAGAGGTTGTAACTCCTCTGAAGCTTGCAGCTGATCATTTTTAACCGAATCAGCACCTCCAAGTGCTATTCCTGTACGCTTTTCCCATTAAAGAATGTAAAGAAGTTTTAGTAGTTCCCTTTTCAGGGCTTGGTGCCTACTATTTGACGAGTACTTAAAAAGCAAAACAAAACACACAAGTGCATGAGTCAGTCTCTAAACATTCACATCATACAGTGTAGAATTCCCTTGACTCTCTTCCCTCCTGTCTGTCCCTAAACTCCCCAGTCTCCGTCCCTCCCGTGGAAGGTCCCTGTCAGCAGCTGGGAGGGTGGGATCTCCTTCCAGATTCATTTTTGCACATGTAGATTTATACATATTGCTGCTCTCTGTGTTCTCCTGCCATTCACTTTGTTTTCACTCGTCTTGTCGAAGTATGTAGAGCTTCTTTGACCTCATTCTTAACTTGGTGTATTACAGCATAGTATTGCTAATCATCCTCTACTGATGTACTTTTATGTTCTTAATTGTTCGCTTTTACCATATTGCAGTGTAGAGTTACTTCTTCATCCACACAAGTATTTCTCTGGTGTGGACACCCTAGAAGTACAATTGGTGGTTCAAAGCCTGTGCCCATTAAAAAACGTAGTAGAGAGCAGCCCAGGTGGCTCAGCGGTTTAGCGCCGCCTTCAGCCCAGGGCATGATCCTGGAGACCCAGGATCGAGTCCCATGTCGGGCTCCCTGCATGGAGCCTGCTTCTCCCTCTGCGTGTGTCTCTCATGAATAAATAAATTAAAATCTTAAAAAAAAACCCAAGAAACAAAAACGTAGTAGATACTGTCTCATTCCCCTCCAAAAAGGCTTTACCAGTTTACATGCCCACCAAGAATAAATGATAATACCAGCATCTCTATTTAATTGCCACCAGGGGATATTGTACATGTGAACACTTGCTAACATGGCAAACCTATGACTTGGGTTCTTTCAGTCCTATAAGGAAAAATAACATCTTGAGAAATCACTTTTCTGGCTTGTAAGCTCTTTATTTTTATTTGTTTATTTTTAGGTGTACAATATAGTAATTCAACACCCCACTGGCGTGCTTATCACCAGAAGTGCCCTCCTTAACCCCCATCACCTATTTACCCCATCCACCCCCCACCTCCCCTCTGGGAACCGTCTGTGTGTTCTCTAGAGTTCAGTGTTTTTTTGATTTGTCTTTTTTCTTCCTTTGTTCATTTGTTTCTTAAATTCCACGTGTGAGTGACATCATTGGTATTTGTCTTTCCCTGACTTACTTTGCTTGGCATGATACCCTCTAGCTCTATCCATGTCCTTGCATGGCTTGTAAGCTTTTTATAATCAATCTCATTCATGGCTAATGACTTATAACAAAGTTACAAGTAACCGAGTATTTATTTCTTAACTCAGTTCTATTCTTTTGAGATGTGGGTCACAGAATAGCTAGTGGTAGCTTTACACTGCGGAGGTGGGAGGGCTGGTGTGGGGGAGAGAGAGGGAAAGAAAAAGGGAGACAAAGGGTGAGGGAAGAGAGTGCATTAGTTGCTCTGGGGCCTTCAGAGACATCAGAGAATCCATTTCAGGTTAGTAGAACTGTGGGTGCGTGTTCAGTGGAAAGCTCCATGCCAGGCTCAGAGGTGAGGAGGACTGCTGCAGTAACAGAAGAATAGGGATTTTGGTAATTATTTTTCTTGACCTTCAGAAATTTTCTTGGTAACAGTGAACTCTTTGTGCAATGATTTGTGAAGAATTGCCAGCCAAAAATGGCATTTTGTCCCAGTAACACACTTCAGCATTTACTTCCTCAATTCTAGCTTAGTGTTTGATAGAAACATGTTTTATTTGACAACATTGAAAGGTTACAAAGATCTTAAAATAATTATTCAGATTACAGTAACCTGATTTCTACAGAAGCTCATCCAGCTGAAATACAAAACACTAAAATGAAATCGTCTTTTCTGTGAACCTAAGTCTAAAGCATGCCAACGGGAAAACTTCTTTTCTCGAAGTGCTGAAAAAAATGAACCGGGCTTATGTAGGCACACGTGCCTTTGGGATGGTAACCAGTTGATTAGTGCTGCTGATGTTAGAGCTTAAAATATTAGAGGCAAAGTAGTTCTTGCAATAATTAAAAGATCAGGTATCTCGTAAAAGAGAAAATCATTATCAGCGCAACTTTAATGCATTTCTATGAAGTCCATGAATAACATACTTCTTAATACTGCTTTTCTAGAAAACTTAAAATGGTTATGGTCTCAGGGTATTGTTAATTTTGTTCTGTCCAACATGCTGCCTAAAAATGAGGGGGATAGTCCTCTGTGACCCAGACCTACAGTCTCCATTCTTTATGAGGGCGATCAGCTGCTGTGGCCCGGCCAGGCTGGATGTAGAAGCAGATTGTCTTTATAATTAGAAAATCCAGTATGTTTTTGGTGCTAAAGCTGGATGTTTCTAACAACTGTCTAAATTTGTGTTCTTTTTCTCCTGTCATCAAAATCATAAAAAATGGGTTTTTCCATTGTAAAAGTGCCTTCGGAATATTTTCAGGTTTCCACAATTTCTCAGAATTTAGCTTTGCCTTGCATTTTTGTTGGATTTGGCTAGTAAATCTCTTCAGGTTCTTTTAATTCAGGGTACTTCTGCCCTCTACCCCTTGCTCCCTATGACAAAAGAAATTCAGCAAAAGTGACTAGGGCCCCTTCTATTGTCAGAGCACAGGGGGTGGTCACAGGGGCTCTGGGCTCTTCCGAACTCTCAGGGACCTTTATTGTGTCTTTGCTTGAAGAACATTTTCTATAGTTTCTTGGATACTTTTCTGATTTGGGTTAGGAAAATGTAAACTCTGCTAGTTTGTTTTGTTTTGCCACAAGATGGTGCTCCTAGAGGCATTTCTATTTGAAGATAGAGGTTTTTTTTTTTTTTTTTTTTTTTCTCCTTTCTTTTTAGTTGAAGAACTTTGGCATCCCTCAAAATGCTAATTGAACACTCTGTCCTTTCTCATGGATTCCATTCCATACGTATCATGTGAGAGAAGTTTATAACTGCTCCTTACACTTGGGTTTACTCCAAGGTGCTCTCTATTCCTTTAAAAACATTTTAGAGGGGCGCTCGGGTGGCTCAATCTGCTCCCAGGGTCCTGGGATTGAGCCCTGTATAGGGCTCCCCACTCAGCAGAGAGTCTGCTTCTCCCTCTCCCTTTGTACCCTCACTTTCTTGCTCTTTCTTAAATACATAAATCTTAAAAACACTTGAGAGTGAGTCTTTAGTACTAAACGTTTCTGATTTCTTCAGTAATGTTTTAAAAATGGTGAGTTGATTTCATTGTCCTAAGCCACCTAAAGAATTCATACAATATTAAATATGTAACATCTGAAAATATATGTAGATATGTCTGCACACTGCCTACTTTGACTTGGAATAAGTACTGACATTTATTTCTGTTCATTTCAGATGACCACTTACAAAAAGAGAAGGGGAACAGTACTAATATGGAAGATCCTCTTGTTTCTCAAGCAGTGAAGAGATGACCTTTCCATTCGGGTCATCTTTTGTCTTAAAATTGTATGTATTAAAAGAAAAAAAAATTGTGTGGATTAAGTAATGTATTTATTCTCCCAACATTACCAAAATATATCACTAATATTTGTAGAAAATCGGGTTTCTGCAAAACATTTAGCCCCCTCCTGTTTTACTACATTTGTGAGTAAAAGCTAACTCTGTCATCTAGCTTGTTGGATTTGACTCGAAAGAAAATGCATTGTTTCTTTAGAAAGAATTTTAAAGGTTTTTAAATTTGTGAGAACTGGAAGGACTTTTTAGTACCCTGTATATTCTCCAAAAAAACAAGATTCAGGTCTTTATAGCCATATGCTCTGCCCTTTAACAAGATTACGTTGATTACATTTCCTTCAGGCTGGAATTATATGGATTTGTAGAAAAATTCATTTATGTTTTTAAAAAGCATTTGAAAGAACATTAAAGCCAGAAAAAATGAATTCCTATGTAGTTTGATTTTTTTTTGTTGTTTACGATTAGTGATTTTTCAGATAACCATTTATAATTTGGTTTGAATATCTGAATTACCATCTAAATTTGAACTTCTAAACTAGGTAACAATGTACTTTTTCTTTCCTTAGACCATTTTGGCTCCTACTGGAAGATTTAATTAAAAGGTAGAGGGGGAAATAATTCTTTTAATTTTGCTGTAAGTAAAACAAAGAGTTTATTTTATTATACAAAGAATGTGGAATAAGCATGAAGAGACAGGCTTTAGGAGAAATACCAAAAAGCACCTTTTAAAGGATGGCTTTGTTTAGCCTCCATGTGGCCCTCAGCTGTGCAATTACAAGATGAGCTATGAAAGAGCTAGTCCCTACCTATCTGGACTCTGAATCTCATGACATGTCAATTTTTTATTCTTGGGATAGAAAAATGGTAAGAGTTCTTGCTGTGCTATCTTTAAAATGCTATTTGATATTTACTACAACATTTTTATAACGTGGAGTCTACAGACTAATGTCCCTAACAACAGCTATTATAATAGCCCTTGATTGGCAAAAGTCATAAAGTATATTCAGACGGAACTTGAATGTTTTCCACAGGACAGGTGAGAAGGGCTGTCAATAGCAAAATTGGCATTCCCTTCAGGGTGTTGATTCTGTGCTGTCTTTGGAAATTATTGAAACTTTTGAGTTTATGTTTGGTGTTGGTTGGTCCTTACAGATTAACCAGGAATTTTTACTTGAAGAAAATTATTAAAGAAATCCCCTTAAGCCATACTTTACAAGTCAGAGGATTTTTGAGAGGCCCAATTGATGAGCTAGAATTACATATATAGATGTAGAAGTGTACTATAAGGGCTCATTTTCATTTTTTAAATTAAATCTGTAGTATCTGATAACAATTTTGAATTCCATTGTATTATATGTGGGAATATAAATATCTGAATTCTTCTCAGAGGACTTGGTTTTCATCCAAGGATGTTGGCAGTGGACGCTAAGTTTACCTCAGGAATTACAACCATGCAGGATTAGATTTTTAAAAAATGCTGGAGTTTATAATGTTGATCACCGATATAAAATCATCACAATAGAAGCTAAACAGAATTGTCACATGTAGTCCATAGTGCTTGTATGCATTACTCTGTAACTCGTTTGTACCTAGGCAACTTTTATACTTTGAATGTATTATTTAATAAAAAAAACAATTAAGCAACTCACCTTTGTGCAGTTAGTGTTATACCTATGACTCTTCTGTCATCAGGAGGTGAACATCAGGACAGGTGGCTCCCCAGACCTTCCTTCAGGATCTCTAGTGGCCTCGTTGTTGGAGGGTGTAGAGAGGTGGAGGGAGGGAAACTTTTCCTGGTGGGTGTGCACTCAGTATCAGCCACGTCACCCTGCAATGGTTACTCTTCATCCAGGAGGCTGATGGTATCAGTCTCTGGGGGAAAAGTATTGTAATCTAGGGCGGGCATTTAGGGGCTCAAAACATATTTAGTAGTTTTTTATATTTGGAAAAGAGAAAACCACCTATGTTCAAAACTGAGATTTTTATGATTTCCACAAAGGACCTTAGGTTGAAAAGTCTGCTCTAGAAATTTTTATACTCAGGATTTTTGAATGGTGTCAATTAATTTATAAGCCCGTCATTGAAAAAGTTACGTTGGCTGAGACATTAAAAAGAAAAAACTAAGAGAAAGACAAGACAAATATAAACGACACATCAAACTATTCTCATAAACTAAATCAGTACATCATGCCTGGTGGTTTTCCTGGGGTTGTCGGGAGAAGTTGTCTTCCAGAAATACGGAGAAGTTTTAGGAGAAGACTTGGATTTACAGAAAAACAGGATGAGAATTGGAACTGAAGAGGGACTTAGGGAAAGTGGAAATATAAAACTTGGGCAGTCTGAAAACCAAGCAGGAGCAGAGGTGACGTTAGAAGATGATAAATTTAGCTTAGCGTATATGTTTGCACAGAGTAAACTGATAGCTTTATAATTATGTGCAAGAACGCAGTTGTATACGACTCACATGCCTGTGTGATTATATAACATTTGATGTGTTCTTTTAACCTAAAGCCAAGTGTACTTGAAGGATTAACATTGTGAGAATATGCCTTTAAAGGCATTTGGGACCATGCTTCCTGGCCACTTGGTATTTGAGTTTTGTTAACAACCATTCTGCAAGGATTGCATGGTCTTTTTTGTTTGTCTGTTTGTAACAAAAGGTAAAACTACTTTTTTCAAAAAAAAGACCTTTTAAAAAATACATTTATTTATTAGAGCAAGCAAGGGAGGGGCAGAGGGAGAAGCAGGAGAATCAGGAGAAGCAGACTCCTTCAATGTGGGGAGGAACACCCTGGGTCCAGGACCCAGGACCCTTGGGTCAGATATTTATCCAACTGAGCCACCCAGGCACCTCCGAAAAATAGACTATTTTTGAAAGCAACCTTAGGTTCACTGCGAAGTTGAGTATAAGGTACAGAGAATTTCTGTATACCTCCTATCCCTCCCCCCCACACACTCACAGCAGGACCCCCCATGGGAGTGGCACATTTGTTCCAATCAGTGGACCTACATGGACACATCACGAACACTCAAAGTCCATAGTTTACATCAGGGTTCATTTCCGGTGCTGTTCACTCTGTGTGTTTGAACAAATGTATAATGACACGTATCCACCACTGTAATACCGCACAGAGTAATTTCACTGCCCTAAAAACCCTCTGACCGGCCTGTCCATCCCTCTAGCCCCCCAGCCTCTGGCAACCACAGACGTCTTCATTGTCTTCATGGTTTTACCTTTCCCAGAATGACACATAGTTGGAATCCTACAGGATGTGGTCTTTTCAGACTGTCTTCTTTCACTTAGTAATATGCACCTAAGATTCCTCTGGGTCTTTTCACGGCTTGAGAGCTCGTTTGTTTTTAGCACCAAATGATACTCCATCACCTCAGTTTCCCACAGATTGTCCACTTGCCTCCTGAATAGCAGCTTGGTTGCTCCCAGGTTTTGACAACTCTGGGTAAAGCTGCTTTAAACATCCCAAGTGCAGGCTTTGGCATGGATGAAAGCTTTCAACTCATTTGGGTAAAATCTTAAGGAGTATGATCTGCTGGTTCACATGTTAAGAATATGTTTAATTTTGTAAGACACTGTAAAACTAGAGAATTTTAGAGTCCTTCCCAATGGAGGGTAGGGAATCTGGAGTTAACCAACACCAGAGTCGGAAATTGATGAAGGAAAGAGCATTGCAGGTCACTGCCATACCAGCTTGACCTGGAGAAGTGTGGAGCTCTCATGCGTGAAACAGGAGTGACTTTGTGCAAGAGAGATGGAGCCAAGCCAGGCCTGTGGCCAGGAATGATGTCCCTTCATTCACAAGAAGGCACAGTCCTGCGCAAATCTTGGGCTGGAAGACTTGAGTGGTGATAATACACCTCTTTAAATAATGAGATTGTGAAACACAGGCAGAAGTAAACCATGCTTGGGCCCAATCTTTGATATTATTCAAAACTGGAGGGAATCATATTTTGGAGCTTTTTGAAGCCAATAGCAAACACAAAGCTATTTGACAAAGAGGAGAAGACTCCAAGAGAGAAATTAACCCTCTGCCATCCTGTTTCATGAGTTCATGGAAACTCCCATTACACAGCACCTCACCGAAAAGACAAGCCAAGGAAACGTACTGGACAGCTCTTGAAGTAACACTTTTTTAAAGTATTTTTTCCCCCTAGATCTTAGAATAACCGGCTTTTTGAGCCATCAGAAATAAAACAGACATTTGACTTCATCAGTGTAACAATGCACTTTTGAAGACTTGAACTGAGCTTCTGCACTGCACAGATGTTTAATGAATGACTGTTATGTACACATACGGTCTCCAAGCACTTGTAGAATGTACCAGAAAGGTATGGAATACTTTATATAAGGCCTTCCCGTGCATCATCATGTTTGACGACTCAGGAAGGTGGTTGAAGCAAAAATTCTGTCCATCTGTGCTCCTCCTTGAGAAGACACAGGCTCCGTTCCCTGACTGTCTTGGGGCTTCAGGTCTGGTGCCTCGCAGACCATGTGTAAATCTCAGACATGTAAACCTCCCATCTACTCAACACAGACTCCAGCAGACATGTGGGGTTGGAATTCCTGCCCCACCACTAGCGAGCTATGCTACCTTGGCTTGCTCCTTAATTCACCAACCTGCTTTGTCAACCGCAGAATGGGGAAAAAATATATATTTTTTAAAGTACCTATTTCATAGGGTTGTTCTAAGGAAGAGGAGAGAGAAGGCAGGAAAATTTAATGTTCGTTATAAAGCCTCCATTTATTAATAATTGCTTAAAAGGCTGGCTCAGTGGTTAAGCATCTGCCTTTGGGTCAGGTTGTGATCCTGGGGTCCTGGGATCGAGTCCCATGTCAGGCTCCTCACATGGAGCCTGCTTCTCCCTCTTCCTGTGTCTCTGCCTCTCTCTGTGTGTGTCTCATGAGTAAATACAAATCTTAAAAGAAAAAAATTGCCAACAAGTGTGATTCCGACGGCCTGCTCTGGGTTCTTTCCAGAACGGGAAGATGGTAGTGAACTTCACTTTTCCCCTTCCATCACCCTCCGCTCCGCACCACGTCTATACCAACGCAGGGACAATTTCCACTCCTTTTACAGCGTGGACAATAAAAGGCACGTGGAGTAGCAGCTTATCCATCATTTTCTGAAGAGCTTTTCCCTAGCTCTGCAATCAGCTGAACTCGAGCAGTTCCTGCCTCTGCCTTAGACCCGTGGGGTGTTTTCAGGGGTGCAACAGCAGGAGAGCTTGACATTGGAAGCAGACCAAGAGGGTCTGAGATGCTGAGCCTGCAGGAGGGACGGGCTGTCCCTCACCATCCCGCACCCAAGGCCTACGTGGTTTCCTCGGGTGAGAATACCAACAGCAAGCAGCACAATATGTTCATTTCACGCGGATCATCTCACCAACTGTTTACAAACAGCCAGGTAGG